GCTTTGAGAATATGCTTAAAAAGTAACAGTCTTCTGCGTGCTCTTTTATCCCCTGGCACCTGCTGTGCCTCTGCTGTATGTATCCTCTCTGACAAAAAAGAATTCTTTGAATCATAGAATGCTTAAGGTTAGAAGGGACCTCTAGAGATCATCTAGTCCAACCTCCCTGCCCACACAGGGTCACCTAGAGCACGTGGCACAGGACTGTGTCCAAGCGGGTTTGGAAGATCTCCAGAGAAGGAGACTCCACAACCTCGCTGGGTAGCCTGTTCCAGTGCTCTGTCACCCTCACCCTAAGTTCCTGTGGAAAAATTACTCCCAATTACTTTCTCTTGCTAAACCTGCAAGATTTAAGACTGGCTATATCTTATTTTCATTTGTTTTACGGGATTATTTTCCTAAGCACTAATCAGATACCCTGTGAGTCTTGCAAAACAGAGTTCAGTGTTGCTACAAGAAGGCTGCCCAGAGAGGTCTCCTTCTCTGGAGATCTTCCAAACCCGCCTGGATGCCACCCTGTGTCCCATGCTCTGGGTGTCCCTGCTGGAGCAGGAGGGTTGGACTAGATGATCTCTAGAGGTCTCTTCCAACCTTAACCAGTCTGTGAAGGCTTGCGCAGCTCTGACGGCTGATGTTGGTGAGGCTGTGTGGGAAAAGAAAAAGCAGTGATCTGAGTGTACTGGAATAGGAAGAGGACTTTGTGTCTTTGTGGCTGGCTTCTGTCAGTGAAGGGACCTAACGGCGTGGGCTTTTCTGTGCCTGCTGTGTAGGAGCAATCAGTGACTCTCTCTTTCAAATGCTTTTTTTTTTTCTTGTCTCTTTTTTAATGCCAGTTCTTAAATGGGCATAAAATAAATGTATGAAATCAACATCAAAATCCAGTCTGACACCTAAGTAAAGTTGGCTGAGCTCTTACTTCTCCTTGGAGAGCAACCTGTGCAGTTCGCAATTCATGTCTGCAGCCATTAGGTGTGTTTTGGGCAGGCTGCATGCTCCCTGCGCTCTAGTGATTGTCACTTGTCTTCTCTGCTCACATCCCACCTGGAATCTTTGGGGAAGAAACAATCTCTCCTCGTGCTTTCCATATTGGCACCAGGGGATACAAAGGACATTTTCCTTAGGCCTGGCTTCTCCCCGCTTCAGCAGTTCCTGCCCATGTGGTACCCTTCTAACCTGGACCTGCTTCTTTAGATTCTCCTGGGGCATTTGGGCACATGGGTCCTTTTGAGCTCTGCACTGTTGTGTTCCAAACACTTTTTATTTTTTTCTGAACGCAGGTTTGCCTTTTCTCAGCACTCCACTTAATACTTAAGGTAGAAAGTGTCCCTGCCTGTGCCTGGGTATTGAAGAACTTCTAGCAGTGCGCTGTGGGCTGCACCTGGCAGCTGTCCCTGGGGGTGTGCTAGGCTCCTTGGAGGAGCATTGGGGTAGCAAGGAGTTATTTTTGCCTCTGATGGGAGCCTGTCTAGTCATGTGGAGGGTGTACAGCTTTGGTGCAGGCTGGGAGCCTGAATTGCTGCACCACTAAATCGCTGCCCCTTAGTCTTCCAGGAACACCAACACTACAAGTTAGCTCCCAGCTGGGCTGTAAGAAAATACATTTGCAAACTGCTCCATAAAACACAGTGGTCTCTCTAAGCCCCGCATTTCTAATCTCAGGGTAATGTTGGTTACGGCCAGCCCAATGAGCTTGTGCAAATCTGGCTGTCCTTGGTTTTCCTAGAAGCGAAGTCCTGGACGCGTCTCTGGTATTTCCTCAGGCTCTGGAGTAACGTTTACCTTTCTTATGCTCTCGCTCGCCTCTCAGGACTGCTTCCTCTAACCTGTAGCTGATCTCCAGCTGCATAATTATTGCTGTCCTGGTAGGGAGGATGAGTGATGGCTCCATTCTCCTAAGTGCTTTTCACTTCTGAAATATAGCTGGTCCCAGATGAGTTGTTTTGGTTATTCATGCCACTGCTAAATGCACTTTTTTTTTCCCAAAACCTACTAGCAGCTTCTTTAATATGAACATCTTGGCCACATTGTCAGGAGTCACAGAAAGAACGATGGCAGTGCTGGAGTTCAGCTTTTCTTTCTTGAGCGTGGCTGGAAGAGCACTTGTGTAGTTTGAGGAGGATGTTGGTTCAGTCTCCTATGCAGGAGAAGAGTTCAGGCCACTTCAAAGGACCCTTGACTACAGGTTTGTCAACGCTGAGGAGGCATCGCAACCTTTTGCTCATGGTCTACTGCTCTGCCTAAATAAGTGGACAGCTCATACAGCAGGAAGGGGAACGCGCCCTTGCTGGGCTTCAGGAAGCAGTGATGTGCAGTAGCCCATGGGGCAGCTCTCTGCATTTCAGGATGGCACTGTTGCAGTGAGGAGGACTTGCAGGAGGAGCTGAACTTGGCCTTCTGGTGCCCTGGGCTCACACTGTTAAAGGCTGGGCTAGAGCACAGTCATGGATGAGTCTTTGCTGAGCTTGTTCCATGGAGCTATTGAGCTAGAAGGCAGGTGATGGAGCGTTTTCGTAGAAGCATTTGGGTGCTGCAGTGGCTGCTTGCTTGTAATAAACAGTGTATATAACATCCACAGAAGGTTTCCAGAGGTCCTGTTGCCTGAATAATCTTGCAGCATGAAGGCGGGAGGGCAACTGGCAGGTGGGCCAAAAGACTTAGAGGAATATATTGAACATGACTTTTTCTGTGCCCTCAGTGAGCTCTCAGTCCAGTGAGCTAAATATTACTCCTACCATGGCTTTTGTGAATCTAGGTACAATTCTAGTCTAAAATTATTTATTGAATCTCAGCCAAACTTATGACTGGTTTGTACTCTCAGAAGTAAATTTACCATATGCTGATCCCTGCCTGCAAGGCCAACGTAGCTTCCAGCTGCTATAATACCGTGATAGGATTGTTCCTTTTTCCCCTCTTGCTGTTGCAACCTTGAGGAAGGACCGACCCTTCCAGGAAGGCAAGGGGTGCGTGATTCATGATATAGACCTTGCTGCCTGCCAGAGCCGCCGGCAAGGGAGAGGGCCTGTGGGAAGAGAGATCAGGTTTGGGCTTGTATTCAATTATTCCAGAATATTTTTAGAATATTTTGTACTGAGGAAGTAAACACTTAATGCTGTGTAAAGGTCAGAGGGGGACCCCACCCGTTCTTGGAAGTCCGTACGGCCTCTGCTATGTAACTTCAGCGGTGCTTCTGGCTTGGGTGTATGTGCAGTTCAGTGATTTATTGTAGTTTATTTTTGTGCCAAATCATATTCAAAAATGCCTTGATGTTTCGAGAAACTATTGTTTTATACGCAGCTTTTTATCTTTGTTACATTCGTCCAGACCCAGTAAATACAGGTATATCCACGGTTATTTGCCTTGATTGCTTTTTTACCCTATAGAGTGATGTGTAATAGCTAAATTTATTTTAGCTATTGGTTATACTCATGAGATTTGCTCAATTAAAAATAAATAAATAAATAAAAATAACACCTTGCAATTAATTGAGCCAGCTGTGATTTTTATCACTCTTCAAACAAATTATTGTACTGAATACAGAATGCTATCCCAGGCTCCAGGTGTGTATTGTATCTGTGCTAAAATTAAAATGAGATCTCATAATAAAGCAGATTTTCTATGGAGTACACTTCAATATTGATAATAAATCACAACTTTAATGCATTAATATAAATGATGTCCATAATTTTAATATTTTTAATAATTAAGCATAAGGCTCTATTATTTCTTTTGAGCAAACTGGTAATGTACAGAGGTATTAGACAGTGGCACTCCCAGTCTTAAATGTAACCATTAAGCAATGTTCTCCAGAAGGAATTGTCAACACCAGAATTGCTCAGCCTTTTTTACCGTTATCAGAACCCAGACCCTGCAGAGGAGCCTTTCAAAGCAGTGGTGGCACCGTGAAGCAGAGGCTGCTCTGGCTTCATGAACTCGCATGGAAAGTGTTTGGCCATGGAGGTTATTGTCACTGGACCTTGGCTCAGCCACTTTCCTACCAGGAGCCTGCCAAATTTTAAAAGATTTATTTTCCGTATGAAAGCAGAAGTAAAAAGCCTCATTAACTGATGAGGTAAAGACATCCCTCTTTTGGTAGTAGAGGGGAAGGGGCTGTGTTTTTCTTCTTTTACAGTATGAGTTTGTTGTGGAAATTTTGGTGAGCTGCATTTTACTTTTGAAGCAGGTAGGGCAGTGTTAGGCTTGGTGTCCTGTCATCTTTCCTCAAAGAGAAATTTGTGAGAATAGGTACAGTAGAAAGCTGAGATTTATGGACTATATGGACGTAGAATCTGAAAGCCCATTACAGCTAGTGTGTTTGTTAAGCGGACTCTCTAGATGTGACGGTGTGACAGTTTTAATGAAGTGCATCTACTCCATTGCAGGGGCCAAGGTATGATGATAACGGCAATGAAACCACCGTAATTAGGTCCTTCTTGTTGCAGCTCCTCAGGGACTTTGTCTTCATCTGTTTCATAGCAGGCTATCTTGGCTTTCTGTTCAGAAAAATGAATAATCTGTTATCTCTGTCTACATCTGTATCACGGTTTGACCATTTCTAAGAGAACGTCAGAGTAATTATTTCATGATCTCTTTAAATCTTCTGATGATAAAAAAAAAAAAATTCTTAAAAATTTAAGCAATATAATAGTAACATATAAATACATTATATAATTATACATTATGAATATAATAGTAAAAGTTACATTTTAAGATATATTTAGGGATCTTTTCTAGATAGGTATAGGTTTGACTTTTGTAAATGACTGTAAATCATTTTCAAAAAAATATATTCACTATGTTCTTTTTTTTTCTTTCCCATTGAGTGGTGTTTATCAGTCTAGTGAAGATCGGGAAAAATCCTTTATAATTTCAAAGGAAAGTTCATTCTGTTTTGCTATTACAAACTACTATATATTGTGTACTTGTTATAATATGTGGGGAAACTGAAAGTTGCATGTGAAAAATAAAACTCATGTTCCCTCTTTCTTCTTCCCACCCCTCAGGTAGAAAGACATGACATGAATACCCTGAGCTTGCCCCTTACCATCCGCCGCGGGGGCTCTGACACCAACCTCAACTTTGACGTCCCAGATGGGGTTCTAGAATTCCACAAAGTCAAACTCAGCGCGGATAGCTTGAAACAGAAGATCCTCAAGGTCACCGAGCAAATCAAAGTTGAGCAAACAGCACGGGATGGGAACGTGGCTGAATATCTGAAACTCGTAAACAGCGCAGACAAGCAGCAGGCTGGGCGCATTAAACAAGTCTTTGAGAAAAAGAACCAGAAATCCGCCCACTGCATTGCCCAGCTGCAGAAGAAATTGGAGCAGTATCACAAAAAGCTTAAGGATATTGAACAAAATGGATCCTCCAAAAGTGCTAAGGATACTTCCAAGGATAACTTGAAGGATGCTCAGCATGGAAAGCTTCGTACGTCCGGGCACGGGACTGAGAGCAGCAAGTCGGGCGTGCCAGGTGTCTCCTTGACACCACCTGTCTTCGTTTTCAGCAAGTCTAAGGAGTTTGCAAACTTGATCCGAAACAAATTTGGCAGCGCAGACAACATCGCTCATCTCAAAAATACCCTGGATGAATTTCGGCCAGAAAGCAGTTCTAGAACATACGGTGGCAGCGCTACCATAGTGGCCAAGCCAAAATATGTCAGTGATGACGAATGCTCGAGCGGTACCTCTGGCTCTGCAGATAGCAATGGGAATACTTCCTTCGGAGCTGCTGTGGCGGGCACCCTGGACAGCCAAGGAAAACTTTCCATGATTTTGGAGGAACTAAGGGAAATTAAGGAGACACAGTCTCAACTAGCTGACGATATTGAAAATTTAAAAACACAGTTTAAAAGAGACTATGGCTTTATTTCTCAAATGTTACAGGAGGAAAGATATAGGTAAGTATAAGTGTTTTTTTTAACCATCTTAACTTCCTTTTAGCCATCTTGAAATGACTTTGAATGAGTATAGGGACTAGTCAGAAAGAATAAATGTGTGTGTGTGTGAGGCAGTGGTGGTGGTGGGATGCTTCTGAAATAAGAGTATAAATTCCAATTAATATCTGGTATCAAAATGTTCCACTTCTTTCAATAAGTGGCAATACGGATGTAACATAAATACTTCACATCAGATAATGTGGTAATTGTTTTGCCTAGGGCTTGTCTGAAAATCTGCCATCTGACATTTTACTGGCATGTTGTTATATGAATACAGTGTGCAGGGGATGCCAGTTGTTTTGTAACTAATGGAGGACTTCTGATCTATTTTAACCAGTAAAGGCTGAGCAGCCTGCAGTGTAACAGGGCTGACTTAGAGCGGGTAAGTGCCCTCTTACTGCTGAGCACCTTGTGCAGACACTGCTCAGAGGCATCCAGGGTCGTAGTGTCACTGTGTGTCCTGCTGCAATGCTGGGGTACTGCTGTGCAAAGTAATTAAGTGCTGTAGCACAGCTTCCTCTCATCTTGTTTAAATGAAGAGAAAGAAAAGGGAAGATGTGAACTAGATACCCCTAGCTGCTGCTGTTCTCTTCATGAAATTCATCAATGACATACAAATATTCATCCTTCAATACCTACAGTCAGCAAGGAGCAGTCACAAAAGCCTTTCAGCCTGCAGAACCAACATTTACAGAGTAGTTTCCAAAGTTTTTACTGATTTCTCTCCTGTATGTCCTATAATGCCACTCAGCTGAATCCTCAGAGGTTACCTTTATGAAGTGTGTAATTGTTGTCATGGTTTAAACCTTTTCTTTTTTTCTTGAAAAGATATGAAAGATTGGAAGACCAGTTAAATGATCTGACTGACCTTCATCAACATGAGACAGCAAACTTGAAACAAGAGCTAGCCAGCATAGAGGAGAAAGTGGCATATCAGGCATACGAGCGATCACGGGATGTTCAGGTACTTTCTGCCTCTTTTCTTCACTTATTACAGACTTTTAAAACTTTTTTTTTAATCTTGTGCTGTAAAACACACATCTCTGCATATTTATATATAAAGAATGTGAGGGAAGATGTAAGCCCATATTTTGCCTGCTTTAAGATGAAAATCTAACAGCACGTTATCCCTTTGCATGTTTATATGCAGTCTAAGCAAATGATGGATAGAAATATTTCCTCCCAAAGTCTAAGGATGAAATGATTGTTTTGCCTTACCTTACTATAAGTTTAAGATACACTGGTGAGGTAAGAAGTCTATGACTGTTATCTTGTTTGCTCATATTGTAAATAAAACTGCCTGTGCATCCTGGTGTTCACATTGCTACAGGCAGAGAGGAGCAGTGAGCTGACAGCAGAAGGCTCGAGCTCTTTTCTGGCTGGTGTGCGAGTTAACAAGCCCTTAGGAACTGAGTGAGGAAGGCACTGAATCTAAGCTTATCACCTTGGTAGGCTCCAGACAGCTCTCCTGTGCAGGCTCTTTCTGAAGGCATCTCAAGGATGCAGAACCTGAATGAGAGCAGAGCTCTCCACTCCAAGGGCTATGAAGTGTTTGCAGACTCATGACCTGAGCCCTGGGCAGCTTTAGAGGCTTTTAAAGCTATCTGAGGTGCTAAGTTGATGATTCATTTTATTATTGTTATTATTATTACTATTATTATGACCTCATTACAGGTGCTATGATCGGTTTCTTTTATCTCTGTATAGTTGGGCCTGCTTAAACTTGTCTGTTTAGGGTTTGGCAAATAAGCTAGGATAAAGTGAAAGCATTTAAATTACCAGTATTTAAATAACAAGCTAACACCGAAGCATCCTGTCCTTAAGGGATGGGGGGAGAAAGTGGAGGTGGGGACACTTCATGTTGAGCCTCTCGGTGCAGGAGTCCAGGTGGAAGCGCTTTGAAGATGGACTTTCTCTAAAGCAGCACAGGTGATTTGAGAAGAACTTCGAGTCAGAGAGGAAGGAAGGCCGGGAAAGCTCTGTAGCATGTAGAAGAGCACATGTGAGCCCTAAGGGAATTTGTGCCATTGCCCATTGTCTTCCATGTAATATTGCTAAAACAATGAAAGGAAACTTTTTTGGAGGGTGACGTTTTTGCTTTATATCTTAAGCCAAATTAGTAGCTCACGGTTGCCCAACAGGAGATGTCCTCCCAGCTCTATCTTCCCCATGCTCCCACTGGCTGCCTTGCACTGACATAACTCACTGAAATGGTGTCTGGAGTTTGCAGCTGGGAGTGGGGAAGGAGGCAGGGAAATCGGAGCATGATTTTTCTCTTCTAGGCATTGGCAAAGGGTTATGTTGACCTATCTTATGATACTACAGCCTTAAAGGGTACTATGTAATAGTACTTGAGATGTATCTCAAGCAGAAAATCATATTTTGGCAAGGGAGTGAAGCAGTTAGAAAATTTTCCATGTTTTACGTTTAGAGGATTTTTAGTGCAGGATTAGCAATTCAGGAACAATTTTATTTGAAGGTTTTTTTGTTGTTTTTTTTTGTTTTGTTTTGTTTTTGTTTTTGTTTTCTCAAGTACACCTTCAAGCAGAAGAGCAAGGTCTATGTTCTTTAAAACAAAATGTCAGGTAGAAAATGTCATGTGAGAGAAAGTCCACTGTCATTCCCTCCATAGGGAGGCCAGAGTTCTCATGACTGAAGAAAACAGTGTGATTGCATTTCCTTGCCTTCGGTCTAGGCCGCTTGGAAACCAGACAATGTAGACCCAGAGGGACCTGGAGAAGCCACGTAAGGGCAAGCCAGCCTCTTCAGGCATGGGCACTGTCTAAGATTTACAAACAAGCCTGGCGAGTATGGCAGGCAAATAGCAGACTGCTAAAGCAGAATGTAGGAGCTGAAGTTAAGAATGGTGCAGGGAAAAACCATTTGACTTGCTTAGGCACCTGAAGTTTCAAGCACAACCTTTCCATAGCGCTTAAAGCAGAGTATGCTGAGTGGAGATCTTATCCCTGATAAGCTGGCTGAGCAGCCACCTAAAGCTGTGTGGGACTCAGGAACAAGGGATCTGAGCATGGCTCCTGAGAAGTCTGTCCCTTGGTGTGCTCAGAGCAAGGCCGAGCAGCATGGCCTTCGCTAAATTGCGTTGCAGGAGTACGATGCCACTGCCCTATGTATGAGAGCACGGGTGTGAAAACAGTCCAGCGGGAGAGACTTTGAATTCTCAGCGCACCTCTGGGAGAGGAGGATTGAATAATTTCTGCTTCTGCCAGGCGGTGCTGGAGGGAGTTTTGTCTCTGCGCTCCAGGGCTGCAGCTCAGCTGTCAGACATCGAGATGCAGGAGAGTGGGTCGGGAGGAGCGTCACTCCGGAGCTTCATAGCTGGGACACTGAGGTGGGAAAAGGCAGTGCAGCTCTGGAGATTTGTACGCCTATGTTCTACATGAGACAGTCAATAGCTAAAAGCAGGGCCCAAGACACTTGCCAGGCTGCTGGTGGCCCTGGCTGTGTGCAGAGGGGTCACACCAGTGTCAGCCTTGCCACTCTCACCTAGAAGAGGTGTCTGGATATAATCTGAGTGGGGTGCCTGAGCTTGCAGAGCGGAGGAGAGCGAGGCAAGTCACGAGCCTGGCAATAAGAGGCTTTCTCCATCAGCAATCATGAGACAAGTTATATTTTGCCTTGCGTATCTTACTGTAATGCAGTCTCTGTTTCAGCAAAATCACCAGCACACACAGTTTTCAATCTCTTATTACTATACTTTATGCTGGAGGGTTCCATGCATGTGTTCCAACCCTGCATGCTGTACACTTAGGATATGGACTCAGGAGCTTTTGTGTCGGCACAGGGAGAGAGCAAGAACCTACTGAGATCCTAACCCCAGAGCTCCACAGCAGGTGGACTTCAGGAGAACAAAAGGAACGTAGAGCAGAGTGGTGGCGTAAACCAAATGGTACACGTTGCACAGCGGACTTAATTACTATCACAGCAAGCCAGTACTACCCTCATGTTTTCTGTAGTACACACAAAGAAACCAACTTGGAAGCTCTTTTAATATAGTGGAGGTTGCCATGGCAACAGCTTTCCCAGTACCTTGTCTCATCTGTAGATGCTGGAAACAGGAACTATCAGGAACATGAGAGCTGTGATACTTGTCTCGAGCATGAAAATGGAAATACTGCATTTTTGACACTGTTGTCAGATTTAATCATGCCTGAGCAGGCAGTGATACATACGTAAAAATAGGGACGTGTATTTTGAGGCGGGGGGAGGGGGAAACGAACGGGTGGCTCATTCAAATTTGAGGAGTCTATAATAAATTATACTTTCTAATCTGGCTCAGGGATGGCTCCACAGCTAAAAATGGAAAAGCATTATGGTGAAATACAGCTGCTCTGAACCTTGTTTTCTGTCATCTCCAGGAAGCCTTGGAATCGTGCCAGACCCGAGTTTCCAAGCTGGAGCTCCATCAGCAAGAGCAGCAAGCACAGCAGTCCGAAACGGTTAATGCCAAAGTGCTCCTGGGGAAATGCATAAATGTTATCCTGGCCTTCATGACTGTCATCTTAGTATGTGTCTCTACTATTGCAAAGTTCATTGCGCCTATGATGAAGAGCCGTTTCCATATCATCTGCACTTTTTTTGCAGTGACGCTGTTGGCAATATTTTGTAAAAACTGGGATCATATCATTTGTGCCATAGAACGGATGATTATACCAAGATGAAGCTGCTGGTCTGGCTGTTTTGTTGTTCTTTTCTCCCCCTCCTTCCCTGTTTTCTAAGAAGTGCTGTGCATATACAAGCTGTTTTTGCTTTGTCTGTTTAAATGTGCAGACTGGATGAAGAATGATACAGAGCCTTGGACTTTAAGGTGGAAATATATAACACGTACTTCTTGGCAGACAGTTATCTGTTCAACCAGATTGTTTCTAATGGGCTTTGTCTGTGATTAACTGCTCACTTTTGTCATTCTTCTGCCTTAATCCAACTGTTTTTCCACTTTAGAAACCTGTAGCCACAAAAAGCGTGGTATCTGGGAGGAGTCTGGAAGTATAAGGTGTGCTTTTTACTGGAGCAGGGAGAAGAGATTATGATCAGGAGGGAGCACATTATAAAAATGTGTCAGCCCTGTGACAGAGATGAAGTAATCTTCTCTCTGAAACCAGTTAGAATGACGAGACCAATTAGTTACATGTATTAATATTTCCTGATTCTAAATTATTAGATGTCTGTTTGTGGGAATTCTAGTTTTCAGGAGCAGCAGAACTTGATGCTCATGCCAGGAACTCTTTGCACAGAAAGCTTAATTCTCAAAATCTAGACTAGTGATGACTATGGGCCACAGTTGCTGTCCTGTCCTGGCACTCTTCCATATGACACTCAGGAAATACACAAACATGGCATAAGGCTTCCAATGATGATGAACCGAATGACAAGATCTCCAGGTGGCTTTCTTGAAGGATTCAGGAAGGGAGCCGCAGGCTTCAAGCACCGCAGGTTGCCAGGGGAAGGAAGCACACCCGGGAAGGCAAAGTTCAGGTTGGTCTTTGTCCGCATTGACTTGCTGGGATTCTCTGATGAATGCAGAGCAGGCTGGTGATGGGACTCCAGGTACAGTGGATTTCTCTTCCTGTGACACACTAAGGGTGTGAGGGAACAGATCCTTGCAGGAGAAGGGAGTTAAACTTGTGTATATAATAAAAGCACTGTGCACACTCTCTTGACAAATGTAATGAAAATAATGTGTTACCATACAGTCCACTACTAGGAGACAAGATTGGTTTTGTTTTTGTAATAGAATTTATTTTACTTGATCAAAGAACTTCAAGAAACTTTCCTTGAAATACTTTGTCTGGTTCCCAGCCATAATGTAAAACAAGATCTTAAATAAAACATCAGATTTCTCCTTCACCATGTATTAAAAAGAAAACAAAAAAGTCTCCATTTATTTGATATTCAGTATTACTTTTAAAATAAGTGTTGTGACAGATTGTTTTTTATTTTAATTGCAATATTTGTTATGCTGGAGGGGGGAAGGGGACTGCTTGAGGGATGTATTTGCTTCTAGGCAAGCGCAAGAGCTGGTGTAGAAGTTCACAAGCAGAGGTGGGAGGAGAGGGGTAGGGCCAAGGGCACCTACTTTATCATTTTACCACTACTGCAGTAATAGTGAATGTTGTTGCTTTCTGTGGCTTCAAGAACTGAAGGCAGAACAGAATTAATGGCATAAATAATGACATGACCAAGCCTTTAGAAAATGCTGTTAAAACCCTTCCCTCATTAAAGCAGTGCTTGCGTGGGGAAGGCTGCAGGGGCAGCCAAAGGGGCAAAGCGTCTTGGTGACAGCGCCGCACGGCTCTAAAGCCCGACCTGCCACCCAGCTGCACTCAGCCTCCCACTCCTGCACTTACAGCCCGCCCAGAGCCTGCAGAGAGAAACTTATCTTCATAGGAACGTCCCTTCCATTACATTAAAAATATTTAAAAACTCACCAAAATCAACCACCACTGTGGCAGCTCTTTTCTGGTCTATCTCAAGAAAGAATTTCCCTTAGGTTGTTTATATGTCCTTCTGATGTATCATAACATTGTCTTGGACATTTTTTTAATTATTGTAAAACAAAACACTTCCATCTTCATTCGTGCAGAGGTAATTAAAGGTTTTTACAGTCTGTACTTTCATCTTCTTTAGCCAGTGAAAGGGTTTGCTATTCAGAACCCTCTGCTTTTTTCTTTGTCCGTGAATTAAGCCTTTTGCTAACTTCCACCAGCCATTTTATTATTTATTATTCAACCTGTAATGTTTATTTTCTTACTTGCACCACCACGTTACACATACATTACACAGATCAGGAGACCTGGTGCTGAGCCTGAGACAGCTGTGCCCCCTCTTCATGGTGTTCTCGGGCCCTTCCTTACTATAACATGCTTTCTTCTCCTCCAAGCACAGGGCCCTTGATGGAACAACAGCAGCCTTGGCATGCTGGGGGCCCTGACACAAACCCTAGCAAGGGGCAGAGGTGGGAGACAGCAGAGCTGCTCTCGCTGTGCCCGCAGCAGCAAGCCGTGCTCTCTGCCGAGCCTGCTCCAGCACGAGGGAGCTCTGCCTTCTCCTGCCCCTGCCATGCAGCCCCGCTCCGGTGGTGCCAGGAGGCTGCACAGGCCTGGGGCTTGCGGCTATGCTGCAGCCCGAGCTCTGCTGGCTGCAGCAGTCGCGCCTCCTCTCACAGTGAAAACTGCCCAACTTCTCAACAACTAAGTATCTTCTGCGGTACTGTATCTGCGTTTTTGTTCTCGCACAACATGTTAAACGGCCCTCTGGCTGTAGTCATCCCACTTGCTCATCATCATCAGCCTCTTTACAACTCCCCCTCTCTGAAAGGGCCAGGCCCCTGTTCCTGCTTGGCGCTGCCTGGCGTTGGTCGCTGCACCCCGCTCTGCCGGCTGGTCTGCCACGACGGTCCCGCTGCCTAGCACGGATGCCTGTGACGCGCTGCACCGGTGCCTCTCTGGCCCTTGTGCTGCTCTTGGTCCCTCGGTGAGGTTAGCAGCACCTGCCCAAGCTTCGCCCACTTCAGCAGAGCCACCCGACTCAGGGTTTCCTCTCAAACTGTGTCACGGCCACCCCCGCAGCGTCCCGGCATAACCGCGTTATTAATTTATTGACAGCACTGAAGGACCCCTAGGTTAAACTCTCTCCTCTATACGTCACTGCGTTCGAGGAACCTCTCGTTCTCCTGTGCTCCTACCATGTCCACTTGTTCTGACTTCCTGGAGATGCCCTCCCAAATCTGACTGCTCCTTAGTTCACTGTCAAAATACTTTGCACCACGTAGTTCCTCTGCTGCGGGGCTGTCTGTGTAGAGAGCTGATATCTGCCCTACATGAAGGATATTTAGAAGCCAGTATTCTTATGTTAACCAAATCAAGAATGTGTGTACAGGGTATAAAAATTCCATAGCTGAAGGCAAGTTGCTGTAGCTGTATATGATCCAGCAGCTAGAAGCTGAAGCTAAATGAATCCAGAGTAAGCATAAACTTTAGTTTTGTAATTGTAGCTACTGAATAACATAAATAAGGATCACAATTTTTTAAATTAAAGTTGAATGCTCTTGTTTAGAGATGAACCATTTCAGGCTTATGTTGGCTACAAAGCCAACTGCAGAATCATAGTAGTGCTTTCTTGCCTTAAAATCCATGATCAAGAAATTCTCTTGGAAAAAAAAAACCCTCCGAACTTGCTTCCCTTAGCTGACATGTAATCTTTTAAAGCTAAGCCTATTTCCACTGTGATACAGATATTTCACTTCTGGATTCCATGGTACAGCAGAAGGTAAACACAGATTAATGTAATTAAACACTGCTTATTTGGATAACAACTTAATCACTCCGAAAGTCCAGCTAGGAATAGCAATCAGAAAAGTTTACTCTCTTTTTTAATCAAGCAAATTTCTATCTGCTTTGCACGTACCATGATGCCACAACATGGACTTTAATTACATTGCTCCCTTTAAAAAAAAAACAGAATGTAAGTGCTGCAGCTTGGGAGAAGAAGATGGCAAAAGGCTTGTTTTCAAGTAAAATTTCTGTGGTCTCTGATGCTGAGTAGAATCCTGGAGAAAATCCACACAACTTTACATTACAGCAGTTCAAGACTAATAAAATTTTGGTTAGTTTTTGTTAATAGAATTGCTTACTCTTCCTGAAAAAGCACTATGAAGAATGTAACTTTGGGACATCTAATGATGCTGTATATAAAAGACTGCATGAGGAATACTCAAATTATCTTACACTGTTGATTTTCTGTGTGTATAGTATGCTCAGTTGCACTGTTGTTGGAAAGTTTTGCACAATGTCATTTTTTTTTCTTTTTTCAGGAAATCTGGGCCTAGTAGTACAGATGTGTACCAAAAAATGTCTGTTTTAGTTGACCGACGTTAACTGTCTCAGCGTGCAATTTTCATTTTGTGTGGCACTGTGGAAAGATGCAACTATTCAAACGCATTCTTTGTATATTTTGTTGTGTAGTCATGACTGCTTCTAAGGTGCCATTAACATTTTTGAAATAAAGATATTTACATTTATTTGATGGTCAAAATTGGGTTTCTTAAGCTTGCCACTTGATCGCTCAAACCCAAGTCTCAGTGCTGGGTCAGTACTAAAGCTGCTCAGTTGGGCCCTAGCCTTGAAACAGACACAAAATGTTCAGCAACTGTGAGCACTGCGCTCTAGCCTTGAAACAGACACAAAATGTTCAGGCAACTGTGAGCACTGCGCTCCGTCGCCTTTCGGACTCGAACCAGTAGCTTGGGTTTTATTTACAGCTATGACATGGCAAAGCTGCAAACCTCAACAGAGGTGGCATCGCTGCTCTTCTCCAGAGCTGGTGTGAAGACGCAGTGCAAACACCGTTTTATCTTGCCAGGCAGTTGGACTGATCTTGGATTTCCTTTGTGGAAAACTGAATTAGAAACCTAAGCTGAATTTTTATGTTTTTGCCAGAAAACTGTTACTACTGAGTCATGATCCAAATGCTGATATGCCTCGTGGTTACCATGGCTGGCATAAGGCAAAATACTTGCATTTATTATCAGTCTTCAGAACTCGGATTTTGGATAGTAGCACAGCCCGGTAACTACTCTAGTACCCAGAAATAGAAGGCAGAGAGGAAAATATAGGGGCATTCTTAACACGCCATCCTTAAGCCACACTTTGTGCACACGCTGAACAGAAAACTACAGAGCACAGGAGGCTCATGTAACACATGGGATTGAGCAATGGTCTCAAAAACTCTCATGCTTTAAATCTA